GAGGAGTTCTAGTGTTTTGCTGCTGCTTTGCCTCATCTCGTGTCCATGCTGATTGCCCCTGAGGGAGACTCGGATGCACCAGACATCCCGACTCCTCGATCGTACGCTGAGGCGATCGAGGGTCCCTACTCCTCACAGTGGCAGTCAGCCATGGACGCAGAGATGGCTTCCTGGAAGTCCACAGGCACCTACGTTGACGAGGTTCCCCTGCCTGGGGCGAACATCGTCAGTGGCATGTGGATTTTCAGGGTGAAGTGGCCGCCAGGTTCTCCGCCTGTCTTCAAGGGGCGTTACGTGGCTCGTGGCTTCAGTCACCGGCAGGGAGTTGACTACTTTCAGACCTTCTCTCCCACCCCGAAGATGACTACTCTTCGGGTGCTACTGCACATAGCCGCTCAGCGCGACTACGAGCTACACTCTCTTGACTTCAGCACTGCTTTCTCGCAGGGCAGCCTGCACAAGGAGATCTGGCTGTGCCGCCCACCTGGCTTTACTGGGACTTTTCCTCCTGGCACCCTGTGGAGCCTCCGGCGGCCAGTCTACGGTCTCCGCCAGGCGCCCCGTGAGTGGGACGACACACTGAGGACTACACTTGCGGCTCTCAGGTTTGCTCCTTCTACTGCCGACCCGTCGCTGTTTCTGCGCACCGACACCTCTCCACCGTCGTTCTACATCCTCGTGTACGTCGACGACTTGGTCTTTGCCACAGCTGACACTGCTGGATGAGAAGAAACGAGAATGAATGAACTATGAAATGAGTGAGTACAAGTACCAACCCTAATTGGGTTGTACCCCCTATGGGATACCCCACTTTTGCCTACACAAAATGTATAAGCTATATAGCATTCTGAAACACCCCCATAGGCAAAGTGGGGGAGAACAAGGGGTCAGAAGACCAGTCCAGCAAAGCAAAGCAAAGCAAAGCAAGCTCAGGGTGGATCTCAAAGTCACCACACAGTCTGAGCACAAGGTCAAGGCCACAAGGCCAGTTCACATGCAAGTGTACACCTATATATAAAGCTAGACAAGCAAGAGCAGGTATATATATATATATGTGACAGTACAAGCAAGGTCAAGAGGAGAGCAAGTGAGGCAAGACAGGTACAAGACCCAGGTAAGTGCAAAAGCGCTGATGGTCACAAGGCGCGAGTGCCTTGGTGAACACGTCAGCAGTGTTGGCCTCAGAGGCCACGTACGCAAGCCGCAACTGACCACGCTGCTGTAGCTCACGAGCAAGAAAGTAGCGGAGAGCAATGTGCTTCGTTCTGTGCTCCAGGCGCTGCTCTCGACATAAGGCCAGCATGGCCTTGTTGTCTACGTACAGCACTAGAGGAGAACGAGGCGGCTCTCCAAGGTCAGTCACTAGGTAGGTGAGCCAGCGAAGCTCCTGTGCAGCCATGGCCCCGGCGTAGATCTCAGCCTCACAACTGGAGCTGAGAACAGAAGACGAGCGAGTAGCCCGCCACGAGACAGAGCCGGAACCAAGACTGAAGGTGTAACCTTGTGACGACCGCTGCGTAGCCTAGTTGTCAGCCCAAGAAGCGTCTGCGTGGCCAGTGAGGACCACTGGACTCCGCCCTCCAAGCACTAGCCCCATGCCCGACGTACTGCCCAAGTAGCGCAACACCCTCTTCGCTGCAGCCATGTGCTCTCGTCGGTGTCTCCCAGGAGCAACATAGCGTGCGAGAATGCTAAGAGGGTATGCAAGGTCAGGTCGTGTGCAGGTCATCAGGTACATGAGGCAGCCAACAAGCTCTGGGTACGGGCCACTCGACTCTACGGACTCATCCGAAGGCAGAGCTGAGAGTGAGTGGCGAGTAGACAGAGGAGTGGCCTGAGGCGAGGAGTACGTGAAGCCGAAGCGCTGAAGGACCTGCTGCACCATGTGTGACTGAGTTAGGGTAATGGTGCGGCGTGCTCTGTCCCGGGTGATCTGCAAGCCAAGGTAGCTGCGCAGTTCACCAAGGTCAGTGCACATGTGTCTCTTCTGCAGCTCGGACTTCACGTAGGCGAGTCCAGCAGTGTCAGCTGTAGCAAAGACCAAGTCGTCGACGTACACGAGGATGTAGAACGGCGGCAGAGAGGTGTCAGTGCGCAGAAATAGCGACGGGTCGGCAGTAGAAGGAGCAAACCCAAGAGCCGCAAGCGTAGTCCTCAGTGTGTCGTGCCACTCACGTGGCGCCTGGCGGAGACCGTAGACTGGACGCCGGAGACTCCACTGGGTACCAAGAGGGAAAGACCCAGTGAAGCCAGGTGGGCGGCGTAGCCAGATCTCCTCGTGCAGGCTGCCCTGCAAGAAAGCTGTGCTGAAGTCAAGAGAGTGCAGCTCGTAGTCACGGTGAGCAGCAATGTGCAGCAGTACCCGAAGAGTGGTCATCTTCGGGGTGGGGGAGAAGGTCTGAAAGTAGTCAACTCCCTGCCGCTGACTGAAGCCACGAGCCACATAACGAGCCTTGAAGACAGGCGGAGAACCCGACGGCCGCTTCACCCTGAAGATCCACATGCCAGGGCTGACGCTATCATAGTAAATAGTCTGATTAGTCTGACGGATCAGACCATCGAGTTTGTGAAAAATGGAATTCCAGAGCAGTCAAATTTTCATCACTGAGAGCCTCAGATTTATTGTTTTATGGCCCCTGATTCAGTGTAATAGGCCTAAGTGTTAGTCATTTCTGGAGTCTGTCACTACAGAGTATGCGTTCTGTGGTCCCTGCATGCAAGTTTATCGGGAGGAAGCTTCCTCAAAATTTCCTTTTGATACACCCACCTCCGAGGTTCACTAGTGAGGGTCGAACTGGTGAGTCAAACCCGTCTTGACTGGTCACAGCACCAGCGTCATTAAAAATTCGCGTTGACAAAGCAAATTCGCGCCGTACAGAGCAACGAATTTGCCCAATCACAGCGAAATGGCCCCGACACAGCAGATTTGAGCTGTCAGAGCACAAAGGTCTTGACCAATCACAGTAAAATGTACCTGGCATTGCACATTCGCCCTTTCACAGAACAGATTCGCCATCAAAGTTCAGTTTCGATAATGCACAGCGCGTTACTACACGTACCCTGATCGTGACTTCTCGACCCTGAACACTCAGACTGTATAACTTCCCAACACTGAGCAATCATGGTGCTGCTTTTCTGGAAAATATGCCTTCAGGGTTAATTTTTTTCTTTTTAGGTGGACATCAGGGTACCTAAATTTGAAACGTCAGCCCTGCCACATGCCACTGACGATGTTTGCCCCAGGAGGGGGGACAGCGTCAACGTAGGTGCCTGTGGACTTCGAGGAAGCCAACTCTGCATCCATAGCTGCCTGCCACTGAAAGGAGTAGGGACCCTCTATCGCCTCCGCGTAAGAGCGCGGAGTCGGGATGTCAAGTGCATCCGGGTCTCCCTCAGGGGTAAGCAGTACGGACACGAGATGAGGTGAAGCAGCTGCCAGACACTGGAACTCCTCCTGCCTGTCCTCAAGGACGTCCGAGCCAAGGGCACACTCACCCCTGACGGAGAGAGGACAAACAGACTCAGACTCAGCGACAAGACTAGTAGCGTAGTCTAAGCGGCAGCGAGCAGCAAAGTCGACGAGCAGACGCAGCAGTGGACTCAAAAGAAGGGTCAGTGACGACAGTAGCAAGGAGACGCGTGACAGTAGGACTGGTAGCACGAAGCAAGTCCGACTCCGGGTCGGCAAGAGCAGGAAGAGAGGACTCAGGAGGAGAAGGCAAAGGGGCACGCAGAGGAGCAGTGGACGGAAGCAGAGACATCCGGTGCGTGCTAGGGATAGGAGGAGGACGCATACGCGAACCGCGACCACTAGTGCGAGCAGCACGGGCAGGCGACGCAGGGCGGGACGCAGGCTCAAGACGCTCAGTAAGACCTCCAGTAGGACCAGCGTAGGGAGAAGGAGCAGGCAAAGGGGAGGTAGGCTGCAACTGTAACAGTGACAGGACAGGTTGTGGACACTCTACGGGAGGAGGAGGACCAATAGAAGGTGGAAGACCAAGAACCTGCTGCAGGAGTGGAACGAAGTACGGTCGAGGCCGCGTGGCGACGCTAGAAGCAGCAGGGACAGCACCAGTACCCTCAGCAGGAGCACTCGCTCCAGCAGCACCTCCAGCAGCTCCAGAACCTCCAGCAGTACCAGGAGCACCACCAGCAGGACGGCCAGCGGTAGTCGCAGTGCCAACACAGCAGCACCAGCTCCAGTCGAACCCGCAGGCCCACCAGCTCCAGTACCCCCTGTACGAGCACCTCCGGGACCCGCGACCGCAGCACCCTCAGCAGCCGAAGAACCTCCAGCACCAGCAGCACGACGCCAGCGCCGGGCAAACCACTCGCGCAGCTCCTGTGGAGAGAGCGGCTCCCGGCGAGACGAAGCATCCAGAGAACCTCGAGGCTCAGTACCCCCAGGCGTAGCACCCCCAGGCTCAGCACCCCCAGGCTCAGCACCCCCAGGCTCAGCACCCCTAGGCTCAGCACCCCCAGACGTAGCACCCCCAGGCTCAGCACCCCCAGACGTAGTACCCCCAGGCTCAGCACCCCTAGGCTCCGCACCCCCAGGTCCAGCATCCCCAGGCTCAGCACCCCCAGACGTAGTACCCCCAGGCTCAGCACCCCTAGGCTCCGCACCCCCAGGTCCAGCACCCCCACGCTTAGCACCCCCAGACTCAGCACCCCTAGGCTCCGCACCCCCAGGTCCAGCACCCCCAGGCTCAGCACCCCTAGCAGCACCAGAGTCACCAGTAACCTAGAGCAGCAGCGTCGCAAGCACCTAGGGCAGCAGCAGCACCAGTACCTAGAGCAGCAGTCTCAATGCTCGGATCGGGCGGGAAACACCGGTAATAGTCACCCTCATCACTAATAGACACAGCATACATGGCAGAGAGAATAGCATCAAAGTCAAGATCAAAGATGGCAACCCCCGCCCTAGAAAGCTCGCCCCAGCGAGGGATCTCTGAGGCCTCCGGGAACTGGTGACGCCAAGCGTCCGTCAGGCGGCCAAATCAGCGCTGGGTGGGGTACGCACCCCCACACTGCTCACCCGCACGGTCGCCGATGCGCAGGACGTAGGTGCACGGACCAAAACCCCCACCCCGCTGGCGAGCAGTGTACCAGTCACGGAGCTGCTGAGGGGACGGGGTCTCACGATCGCGCTGCTGCTGCTGGCGCGAGCCACCACCGGAGCCACTCCTCTGTGAAGACCCGCGACCAGCTCCACCGCCACCCCCACCGACTCCGCCGCCTCCGCCGCCTCCACTACTGCCGCCGCCTCCGCCTCCCCCTCCATCGCCGCCTCCTCCGCCACCTCCGCTCCCACCGCCACCGCCGCCGCCGCCTCCGCCTCCACTGCCGCCACCGACCCCCCCACCCCCACCTCCACTCCCACCGCCACCCCCACTCCCCCCACCGCCTCCACCTCCACCCCCACCGCCCGCTCCTCCAGCTCCCTTGCCCCCCTTGCCCTTGCCAGAGCGGAGTCTCCCGCTAGGGGCAGACGCCGCACCGACCGACTCAAGACCAAGGAGGTCGGCCGCAGCAGCAGAGGCAACAGAGGGCAGCTGGGGGGAGGGGGAACATCCCTCAAAGATGGGGGTGCGCGGGTCACCTCGAGAGGCTCCTACAGCGAATATAGTCTTCTCCGCTGCTAAGAGGGCCTTCTCGAGGAGGTCGACAGTGAGTGTGGTGGGACAGACTGAGAGAAAGTGGTCCCTGACTACTCGAAGGGAGTCAGGGAGGCGAGTGACTAGGAAGTACAGAGTGATGTACATGGGGGGGGGGTTTCGCGGCGCAGAAGTCAGCAAGAAGTGCAGCGCGGTAGCGAGTGTCACTAGTGCGGAGGTGCGTAATGAGGTCAGCTACGGTGGGAAAGGCAACAAGGTCAGGGAAGAGGTACGGTAGCATGAGACGGCTCAGTGCAGCAGTGGCAGGGGAGGAGTAGCGCGCGACTACAGCGTCGTACAAGGTCTGAGCACTCTTGTACTGACTAAAGTGCGCACGCTCGGAGGTAGGGAGGTGGCGACGCACAGCAAGACGTGCAGCAGCGTCGCGTGTGGCCCACTGGGAGTGAACAGTGGCGTCAGCATCAGCAGCAGGGGCAGGGGAAGCGCCAGAGGTAAGGTCAAAGAGAGAGAGGCCGTGTGCCCTATCGCACTGTAAGAACAGCTGCAGGTCGTCTACCCAGACCTCAAAGTCAATGGCCCGACCCTCAGCGTCAAAAGCGAGGACACTAGGGGTAGCCATGACGACAAACGACTAGCAGTGCAAACAGTAGGGTGAGGGCAGTGCAGGAGAAAAGGCGCTGTGCTCACCAGACTGGGCAGCTCGGGCGGTCCGAAAGTAGGGCAGCTCAGCGGCTCAGCGGCTCGGCTGCTGGGCGGCTCGGCGGCTCGGCGGCTCGGTTGCTGGGTGACTCGGCGGCTCGGCTGCTCGGCTACTGGGCGGCTCCGCTGCAGGGCGGCTCGGCTGCTGGGCGGCTCGGCCGCTGGGCGGCTCGGCTGCTGGGCGGCTCGGCGGCTCGGCGGCTGGGCGACGCGGCGGCCAGGCGGCTCGGTGGTTTTGCCGCTGGGTGGCTCGGTGCCGCTGGTTTAGGGAGGCGCGGTGGTCCTAGTAAGGGCGGCGGTAGTGCCGTAGGTAGGGCGGCGGTAGGGCCGCAGAAAGAGCGGCTGGCGGGCCGCAGATAGGGCGGCGGGTGGGTCGCAGGTAGGGCGGCAAGTGGGCCGCAGGTCGGGCGGCGATAGGGCCGCTGTGGTAGGGTGGCAGGTGGGCCGCAGGTCGAGCGGCGGGTGGGCCGCAGGTAGGGCGGCGGGTGGGCCGCAGGTAGGGCGGCGGAAGGGCCGCAGGTAGGGCGGCGGAAGGGCCGCAGGTAGGGCGGCGGTCAGGCCGCAGATAGGGCGGCGGGTGGGCCGCAGGTAGGGCGGCGGGTGGGCCGCAGGTAGGGCGGCGGAAGGGCCGCAGGTAGGGCGGCGGTCAGGCCGCAGATAGGGCGGCGGGTGGGCCGCAGGTAGGGCGGCAGGTGGGCCGCAGGTCGGGCGGCGGGTGGGCCGCAGGTCGGGCGGCGGAAGGGCAGCAGGTAGGGCGGCGGGCGGGCCGCAGATAGGGCGGCAGGTGGGCCGCAGGTCGGGCGGCGGGCGGGCCGCAGTCATAGAGGCGGCGGGGCCGCAGCAGAGGGCGGCGGAGCCGCAGCGAGTGGCGGCGGAGCCGCAGCGAGTGGCGGCGGAGCCGCAGCGAGGGGCTGCGGGGCCGCAGTGAAGGGCGGCGCAAGCCGCAGCGAAGGGCGGCGGGGCCGTAGTGAAGGGCGGCGGAGCCGCAGCGAAGGGCGGCGCAAGCCGCAGCGAAGGGCGGCGGGGCCGCAGGTAGGGCGTAGGGGGGGCCGCTAGGGCGGCTCGACGACGTGAGAGCCCGGAGCGCGACTCGGGCAGAGTGCGCTTCGGGCAGGAAAAAAAAAAGGAAAAAACTCGATGTGGTGGGCCCTAGGCATTGTTCCCACGGGGGAACCTGCTTGATACCATGAGAAAAGTATAACGAGAATGAATGAACTATGAAATCAGTGAGTACAAGTACTAACCCTAATTGGGTTGTACCCCCTTTGGGATACCCCACTATAGCCTACACAAATGTATAAGCTATATAGCATTCTGACACGGGTAGCCGACGGAAACTGATGGTGACCGAGTGGGCGGCTATAGCACGTCCGAGATTTTCGGAGGCGAACTGCAACTGCAACTGCGGATTTACGGGGTCTGATTCGAGCGACAATTTCGGAGTATTTACGTGGAGACTTACAGGTTTTACGGCAAGGAGCGCCGACAATTTCGGAGGAGCATTCGGCGTTTGGTTAAACACGCGCGAAAAGGACGTTGAGAAATAACGCGTGAGCTACACGGAGTTTTCAGGGGTACGAATGACTTACGACGAACTGAAGAAGGCGGCATCAGCAGTGAAGGGGTTGGAGAGACAGCTGCATTTTTGCATCCCTGCCCAGGAGCCCTCGGCGCACTACGACAAATGGCTCGGCGAGTCTGGACAAAACCGCTGGAGGTGCTGACATCATCTGACCCTAGATCGTGCTCGACATCAATTTCGGAGTGACATTCGATTTCGGTTACTGCTTCAACGAATTTCGTCGACGCTCGTATTTGACTTTACGAGGAATCGCCTTCACCGACGACATTTTCGTACCAACCCCGACTTCACGGCCAGAGGATTTCGGGATACAGCCGCTCCAACTCTACTAGCGACAACTCCATCTACTCGACCCGCCCACGACAACTGCATTGATTTCAAAACACGTCAGGTGCTGCCAGCTGCATCTGCTGAAGATACTGCATGATTCTGGCGTGTGAAGACAAAAACAGGTTCAGTTCGAGCAACGCATAATTTCTGCCGCGGTTTCTGGTCTACTTACGCGGGTTCGCCATCGACATTTCCACACCGACGACATTTCGCCTGGACTTTTACATCCGACGCTCTTATTCGTGGGACTTAACGCCTGGCTTTTTGTTGGTTTTCATCTCGGCGCAGCAGTGAAACATTTTCTGGTGTCTTTTCTTGGAGGGGGGGAGAAGTGCGCTGCACTGTTCTTTCCTTGGCGTTTTTTTCGGTCCTTTCTAACTTTGTCAGGTTGCGTCAGCACGACGGACGACCGCGATCACACCGACAAGATCGACGGCTTCTGCTACATCGCGATTGAATTTCGCGTCAGCAGTTTCCCTCCACATCCCCGACATGGTTGACCGTCAGATCTGCAGTTATCGCATCTACGGCCCACATTCCAACTTTCAATCCACTTAGGGCCAGTTCATCGTGGACCGTCAGATCGAAATCGAATTTCATAAACGGCCTATATTCCAACCTTTTCAAAAATATTGTCCAAGGCATTTCGGCCGTCGGATTCAGCTGAAAAGAAGATCTACGGAATCCTCGCTAGTGTGGGGCCTTTTTTAGTACAGAGCTGCCTTATTTAGAAGGTGGGAGAGTGTAAGGATTTACAAATCCTTACTGAGGCACTCGTTAGCGAAGCCATCCCGAGGGTCACGCGACGAACCTGTCCTTCCTATTTCGTCGCACTGAACCACTCCCGAGTTGGCCTCCGCTCCAATCGCAACCATCACCGAGCCATCCTCGCCCAACCTCTCCGCCTAGCTAGGACCCCCTATTTAGTCGTGCCTTTCTCATTGTATCGTCATTCAGTAATTCAGTAATCAGTCATTCTCGTTATTCGTTTTACTGCGCACTCTGCAAGTTCATTCATAACAGTTACGGTTGACATATATATTGGCATAAGAATACGACATTGAACCCGCGGGTTTCGGAGGGTTTTTTGGCCTGGTCAGCCGGGAATTTCCGGGGGCCCGGAGGGATTCCGCGGGTTTTTCGTTTTGCCTCGATTCCCTTTGCGCCAGGGCGGGCGGGGCGGCATGTGATGACGTCACCCGTGTGTATATAATAGGGAATTCTCGTCCCAGCTTTTGCTGGCAAGAGGGGTGCGAATTTCGAAAATTGCGCGATTTGCCACGGCCGTTCGCCTCGAACAGACAGAAACGGTCCCGTTTCTTTCCCATCAGCGTTCTTATCGTTTCCCGCTAGAGTGCGAGGGGGAGGGGGAGAATATATGTTAGAGAGGAGGGGCATATCGGGAGAGTGCGGGGTCATGTTTGATGCACGGCGCGGTGCGTGGTCGCACGAGCGGGAATCTTGGGGAGCCTAAACAATCGAACGAGCGGGATTCTAGTGCAGAGCGGCGTAGCGGAGGCGATTAAACCGCGCCAGTGTGATAGTAACACGCTTTTTATGCGGGAAAATATTTTCACAGTGTAGTTGACTGGTGATCGACTCGCAAGTCACCTCGGGAAATAGCAAATCACGTCTAGTAGGGTGCTAGGCTGCTTGCGAGAGGGCGGGAATTACTCCCACGTGGAACGGACGGCAGATTCGTGATGGACTCGCGGCGGGATGCAAGCGAAATTCCAACGGGCATCGGCGCGGCTGTCGTACCACGCGATTCCCTTCCAACGGGCATCAGCGTGATTCTCGGACTTGAGAATTCGCGGAACGCCCCCCCGCCTCTGCGACGCTACGCGCGGCGGTTCTCGCCTCGCCTGGCGCAGCGGAATCGCGCGGAGCTTCCGCCTGTTCCTGCGCAGAGGCGGAATGCGAGGGGGGTTGTGCCGGTTTGGCCCGTCCTGCACGGTCCGCCCGTTCCGCCTGTTCCCGCGCGGGGGGATGGCGCGGAGGCTGCGGTTGAAGGCGCGCGGGCGGAAGAGGTTCCGCGGGTTGGGGGAGCAGCAGGGGAAGCTGGGCAGGGGGGAGGGGAAGAGGGGAGGGATACGGTGGAAACAGGGGGATGCCGCGGGGGAGGTGGCAGGAGGGGGTTATGGGGTGGTGGGAGGGTGGGAGGAGTGCTGGCGGGTGATGGTGGTGGGATGGGGGAGGGTCGAATGGGAATTGGGGAAGAGGTGCGGGAGGGGGGAGAGGTGGGGGAAGATGGGGATGGGGATGAGGGCAATGTGGAGTGGGTAGGAGAGGACGAGGAGGGTGTTTGGGAAGTGACAGTGGGGGAGAGCAGAGATTTTGATGGTAAAGTGTGTGATATTAATGAGTTCCTCTGTAAAAGTGGGGAGGAGAGGGAAAAACGTACACGGCCGACAAGGGAGGTGGAGGGTCAGGAGGGAGAGAGGGGGGCAGGTAAGGTGAAGAAGAGGAAGCCAAAGGGGAAGGGGAAGGAGAGTGGGGAGGGAAGGAGAAGGAGAAAGGGGAGAGGAAGGGGAAGAAGGAGAGGGGGAGGGTTGGGCATGACTACACGTGTAAGGAGTGTGGAAAGGCGTTTCCTCTGTCAGCAAGGTTATGGAATCACATGGCTACCCACTCAAAGAAGGCGTGTGTGCTTCCCTCCCTCACTCCATCACTCACTCACTCACTCACTCACTCGCACACTCACTCACTCTCTCCCTTCAACTCACACTTTCCCACTCGTTTAATTCTCGTTCAGTCCCCTCCATCCCTTCTTGCCTCGTCCTTAGCAGTTCGTCTGTCCACATGCCAATTCCCAAGGAAGCAGCATCCGAGGAAGCAGCAGTGCGGTCGAATAGGTGCGAGCTGTTTCTCTACAATTCCTTTTTCCGTCCCTTCAATGCCCCGTCCACTGCAGTTCGTCTGTCCACATGCCAACTGCCAAAAGGCTTTCGCATTCAAGTACAAGTTGAAGGATCATCTTCTCCTTCACAACTCCAATGCCCCCCAGGTGAGCTTCTCTCACTCCTTCTCTCCTTCCAAATCCCATTCCTCCCTCTTCCCCCCCCTCTCCCCCCTTCCTCTCCCCCCTCTGTCCCCTTCCTCTCCCCCCTCTCCCCCCTTCCTCTCCCCCCTCTGTCCCCTTCCTCTCCCCCCTCTCCCCTCTTCCCCTGCCCCCTTCTCCGTTTCCACAAGTTGACAACCCCAGCATCTTCCCCAATGCCCCCCAAGTAAGCTGCCCTCGTTCTCTCCCCCTCTTTTTTTTTTTTTTCCTTTTTCCTCTTCCTCTCCTCTGGCTCCCTCATAATCCTTGTCCACTTCCCCGTCCCCTTCAAAAATTGTGGCTCCCTTTTGTTTTCCTTCGCTCCCTCATAATCCTTTCCTTTTTCCTTTCCCAGCATTTTCCTTTTTCCTCTTCCTCTCCTCTCGCTCCCTTATAATCCTTGTCCACTTCCCCGTCCCCTTCAAGAATTGCGGCTTGTATGTGCCCTCCCTGTTAGCTATCCCCGGCCGCACCCCCCCCGCAATCACCAGCACCCATGCCCTATCCCCACTGCCCGTGGACATTCAGTCGTCGAGGCAACATGGTGCGGCATGCAAAGATGCTGCATTGGGGCTTTATCAAGGTGTCTTGTGTTTCCTCTCCCTGTTTTCTATCCCCACCCCCCACCTCCCACCACCAAACCACCAGCACCCATGCCCTCATCCCCTCTGCTCTTGGACATTCAGTCGTCGAGGCAACATGGTGCGGCATGCAAAGATGCTGCATTGTGAGGAGTGTGGGATTGCGTTTTCTCAAAAGCCAAAGTTCAAGAAACACATGGCCACCCACTCAAAGCAGGTGTGTTTCCCTCACTCTCTCACTCACTCACTCGCTCCCTCATTCACCCTCTCACTCTCTCTCTCCCGCACTCACTCTCTCACTCTCTCACTCTCCCACTCTCCCACTCACTCACTCATTAAATCTCTCGCTCTCTCGACCACTCACTCACTTTGCTCGCTCATTTGCTCACACACTCATTCATCCTCTCCCTTTCTCACACACCCTCTGGGCGCCTTGTCTGTGATCCTGGCTCGACATGTTTTCCTGTCTGTCTTACCCTCGTCCCCTCGTCCGCATGTTCCCTCATTGCCTCATCGCTTCCACTGCATCAGTTGGTGTGTCCGTCCGCATGAAAATGGGTCAAAGAATAGGCGCAAATGTTCTTGCTTCCTTCCCTCGTCCACTGCAGTTCGTGTGTCCTCATGAAAATTGCCCAAAGGCATTCGCACTCAACTGCTGGTTGACGAGGCACCTTCTAGTGCACAACCCTAATGCCCCCCGGGTAAGTTTTCCTCTCTCATTCTCTCCTCCTCGCTCCCCACCTCCCTCTCCATTCCCCTTTTCTCCTTGCGGCTCCCCCCTGCCCCCGTTCCTCTTCTCCCTATTTCCTTTCCTCGTCCCCCTGTTCCCTTTCCTCTCCCTTTTCCTCCTCTCTCGCTCCTCCTCTTTCTCTCCTCTCACTCCCTCCTTGTCCTCGTCCCCTTCCACCATCCCTCCCTGTCCATATTGCATCTTCCCATCCCATCCCCTTTGCTTTCTTCACCCGTCCTCCCTCTCTCGCCTCTCCTACGATGTCGTCAACTTCTCTTGAGCTCTGCTTCTGCTTCTATCAAGGAGACATGGAGTTTACTGCCGTCAGCAGTCCCATTGGCCTGATTGCAAGGAAGCAGCTTCGAGGTGACTCTTAAGCGACTGAAAAACTGTCGTCAGCAGTCTGATTGGTCTAATTGCAAGGATGCCACGATGCGGTCTAATTGGTGCTGTTCAATTCTCCGCTACCTGTTCTCTTCCCCACCCCCACTCTCTCCGGTATTCACCAGCACCCGTGTCCTCATCCCCATTGCTTTTGAGGCGCCTCAAAAGCACCCATGCCCTCATCCCCATTGCTCTCGGACCTTCAAGCGTCGAGACCACATGATGCATCATGCAAGGAAGCAGCATGCAAGGGTGCTGCATTGTGCCTTATTCAGGGCGTCTTGAGTTTCCTCTCCCTGTTTTCTCTTCCCACCCCCCACCCCCCCCCCCCCCTTTAATCACCAGCACCCATGCCCTCATCCCCTCTGCTCTCGGACCTTCAAGCGTCGAGACCACATGTTGCATCATGCAAGGAAGCAGCATTGCGGAGAGGGGGGAAGAGGGGAGAAGCTGCAGCGTGCAAGGAAGCAGCGTTGTCAGGAGGGGGGGAATGGGGGCATGGCACGGCTTGTAGGTACGCAGCATTGCACGGAAAGGGGGAGTGGAGGGAGGGTGATTGGTGTGTCTGGTGGGGTGGTGGGGAGCGGGGGTTGGGTAAAGAGTGTGCATGAGGGGAAGAAGGGGAAAAGGGCGGATGGGGGAGAGGTGGGGAGGCATGGAGACGAGAAGGAGGGTGATTTTTTCAGTAAGGGAGAGGGAAGGAGGGAGGAGGAGGAGAAGGGCAAAGAGGCGAGGGGGGAAGAGAGGGAAGGAGAGGGAAGGAAGGGGGAGGAGAGGGAAGAAGAGGGGAGGAGGGGGGAGGAGAGGAAGGAGGAGGCGAGGAGGGAGGAAGAGGCGAGGAGGGAGGAAGAGAGGGAAGAGGGAACGAGGGGGGATGAGAGGGGCGAACAGGGAAAGAGGGAGGAGGAGAGGAACGAGGAGGCTTTTAGGCAGGAAGGGGGGCGTGAAGGTGAGGAGAGAACGAGTGCAGTGAGGGGCAAAGAGGGAAGGAGCGGGGAGGAGAGGGACGAAGAGGGAATGGGAGGGAAGGAGAGAGATGAAGGAGGAAGGGGAGGGGAGGAGAGGGATGAAGGAGGAAGGGGAGGGGAGGAAAGAGATGAAGGAGGAAGGGGAGGGGAGGAAAGAGATGAAGGAGGAAGGGGAGGGGAGGAAAGAGATGAAGGAGGAAGGGGAGGGGAGGAAAGAGATGAAGGAGGAAGGGGAGGGGAGGAGAGGGACGAAGAGGAGGATCCCCTACCCTTTCTTCAAAGGTGTGGCCATGTGGAGAGCAGCGTGGGAAGGGCAGTGACACAGCTTCAAGAAGGTTTTGGCACGGCTGGGGGAGGGACGGGGGAGGAGGGAGCAGATGCTACGAGGGATGAAGAGGAAAGGAGAGGGGACGAGAGGAATGAAGAGCAGGAATTAGTACCTCATCGGCTCCCTTCTAAGGGGGAGGGAAATGATTGTGGAGGGCGGTGGGGAGAGGAAGGGGCACCCCAATTCCAATTCCTTCCTCCCAGGGGGGAGGTCCGCATGGGGGAGGCAGTGATGCTGCCGTCTCAAGGGGAGGGAAGCGCGGCTGGAGGAGGAAGAGCGGAGGGAGAGGCTGGGGCCGAGAGTGGAGAGGAGAGGTGGCAGCCTGGGGGGGAGCGGGGAGGAGTGCGCGTGGAGGATGGAAGGGGGAGGGGGGAGCTTCTGGGGATGGTGGGGGAGGGCATAAGTGTGAGGTGAAGGAAGAGGAGGAGGATGGGTGTGACGTGGATGGTCGAGGTGAAGTGGGGAAGGGGAAGGAAGTGAGGGAAAATGGGGCTGGGTGTGAGTCGGTTCAAAGCATTCGAGAGCGGTGGAGGAGCAACGAGCGTGCAGAGCGTGCAGCAACGAGTGAGGCCCGTAGAAGAGGGTTGCTTCGAAAGGAAGCAGTGAGGAGAAAGCGAAAGCCTGTTGGAGGAGTCGTTGATGGGGAGAGAGGCATTGGGAGTGGGGGAGCTGGTTACAGGAGAAAGCGAAGGCGTGTTGGAGAAGTCATTGAGGGGGAGGGCGCTGGTTACAGGAGAGGCTACCTGAAAAATCACCTGAGGCAGCAGAAGAGGTACCTGAGCACGAAGGTGCATCATTTTGTGGGGAGGAAGGGGCGGCGATGCAAGCTGAGGAATCACCTGAAGGCAACAGAGAAGAAGCACCTGAGGAGGAAGGATTTTCTCCTGAAGGAGGAAGAGGTCCATCTGAGCCAGAGGGAGGAACACCTGGACAAACAGAAAGAGCACCTGAGACAGCAGGGGGGCCATATTAGAGAACAGAAGGAGCAGCAAGAGTTGCACCTGAGACAACAGGAGGAGCATCTGAAGCAACAGAACGAGCATCTGAGGCAGCAGGAGGACCATTTGAGGGAACAAAAGGAGCAGCAAGAGTTACACCTGAGGCAGCAGGAGGAGCAACTGAAGGAACAGGACGAGCACCTGAGACAGAAAGAGGCTCAGATAAGAGAACAGAGGGAGCAACAAGAGTTGCACCTGAGGCAGCAGGAGGAGCACCTGAGGCAGCAAGAGGAGCACCTGAATGACAGGGAAAACCACCTGAAACGAAAAAGGCAGCACCTGGAGCTTCAGGTTAGGTGCACACGAAGACGGAGGGATCGCCTGAATCGTTGCTCTGTACGTTCTCGGGGTTCGGGAAAGGAGGCGGTGGTGAGTGGTGCAGAGAGAGACATGCAAATTCGGAGGGATCGCCTGCGTCGTCGCTCTGTGCGTTCTCGTGGTTCGCGGAGGGAGGTGGTGGTGAGTGGTGCAGAGGGGCGCACTCAGATTCGGAGGGATCGCCTGATTCGTCGTTCTGTACATTCTCGTGGCTCGAGAATAGGGGTTGGGATGGGTGATATGGAGGGGGTGGGGTTGGCGGGGGATGGAGGGAGGCGAGGAGTGGTGAAGGATGAGAGAGAAGAGTGGTTGGGGTGAATGATGGAGGGAGTGGAGGGGGGGGGGTGTGGTATAGGGTGGAGGAAGGGAGGGGGATGGAGAAGGATGCGGAGAGAAGGGAGGAGTGGTGAGTGGAGGGGGAGGAGGTGGTGGTGCGGGTGACTAGACGGGGGGAAGGGAAGGGAAGGAGAAGAGAGGAGGGAGCATGGTCCCGGGGAAGAAAAGGGAGAGGTTGCAGGATGGCTGGAGGAACTAATTGTCAGGTATTGGAAGATCTTTGTACAGTATAACATCAGGGAGGGATCAGTGAGGAGATATCCATACATGCAGTCATGATTGGGATTGGAGAAGCCGGGCATCCATAGGAGGAGTTCGTTACTCTATGTTTGTGCTTTGGCAATGCACTACAAGGAGTGCTCCCGGTGCACTGCGTGTTAGTTTCTAGACATCTCAGCTCAACGTATCAAAACCCTTTTGTCATCATGGAACGCTCCTAGTGTATTGCATCTTGTACAGGAGGTTGTGTGGCCTGATCTGTTATTCTTTGCTTCTTTAGTGCCTGGATAATTTCGCTCTTGAAAATGCTAAATCTTACTATGAGCTAGTTTAAGTGATGTAGGTACTGTAGCTCGAATTTCATCCTCTCAAAAGGTTCAGACTGTTTGAAAAGAGTTTGTATATGTATCTGTACCAAATGCTTTTGCGAATGTTTTCTACCCCAGCAATTTCTAACGCGGGGTAGCCAATGTCGCAACTATTATTGGGCGCCAATTTCGTATCACTCGCGTTCCGCCCAGTTTCTATGCTCAACGCAACGGATACTTCTAGTTGCGCTGCGGGCAGCTTGAACGGGTTAGGTCTTGGATTGGAAGTGCAACGGGACATAAATGTGATTGTCAGGAGTATAGCGCGTAAGCGGATAGAGTATGCGCTGCATTGCGCGGGCCAGGTATAGCGCGCGGTGTGATATTACTTTACTCTTAGTAACGAGGCGCCGTTTCGGGTGTGATAGAGTATGCGCTGCATTGCGCGGGGCTAGGTATAGCGCGCGCGTGTGATAGTACGAAACCGTTAGTAAGGTGGCGCCACTGCGGGTGTAATAAGAATATATAGTACACTGCGGATGTGATAGAGTATATACGCTGCGCCGTTCCGCATCGCCCCGTCAATACCGCATTGCTGCGCCGTTCCGCGTTGCTGCGCCGTTCCGCATTGCTGCGCAGTTCCGCATTGCTGCGCCGTTCCGCGTTGCTGCGCCGTTCCGCGTTGCTGCGCCGTTCCTCATTGCTGCGCCGTTCCGCATCGCCCCGACGGTACCGCCCCACGCCAATCCGCGAGAGTAAGTTTACGTCTGGTAGGGTGATAGCGATACATCGGAAATGGACTTGCGGGACTGCATGCGCCTTATAACGGGTACATGCGGGTCACTTGCGCGCGAGAATCCGCGGGACGGCCCGCCGCATTTCCGGTGCTACGCGCGGCGATTCTCGCCTTGTCCGGCGCAGCGGAATGGCGCGGAGCTTCCGCCCGTTCCGCAAATTCCCGCGCAGCGGCGGGATGTCGCGGCGGCTCTGCCCGTTCCCGCGCAGGGGAGTGACGCGGAGCTTTCGCCAGAAGCCGCGCAGGCGGAACGGGTTCCGCGGGTTGGGAAAGAAGAGGTTGAGGGTGGGCAGGGGGAAGGGGCAAAGGGGAGGGATGTGGCGGAAGAAGGGGGAAGCTCGGGGGAGGGGGGAGGTGGGGGCGAGGGTGGGAGTCTATGGGGCGGTGAGACAGGGGGAGCGGTGATGGGGGGAATTGGTGGTAGAACGGGGGAAGGTCACACATGGGTTTGGAGGTTAGATGGAGGAGGGGGATGGGCGAAAGGGTTACAGGTGGGGGAAAGGCAAGCTGTGGGAACGGGGGAAGAGGTGCGAGAGGGGGAAGAGGTGCGGGAGGAGGTGCTGGAGGGGGAAAAGGTGCGGGACGGGGAAGAGGTGAATGAAGATGGGGATGGGGAGGAGTGTGAAGTGGTTTGTGTGGGGGAATGTGGGGGGGGCGAGGGGAAGTGTGAGGGAGGAGAAGATGATGTGACGGAAGTTCCAATCTGGATATTAACAGAGGACAATAGGTGGCGGGATATTAACGAATTATCTGGTGAAAGTGGGAAGGAGAAAGAAGACTTGACGGGGGAAGGGGGGAGAGTGAGAGATAGGGGGGAAGAAAAGGTGGACGAGGAGAGGGGGGAGGGGGGGCATGAGAAGCAGCATACTTGCAAGGCATGTGGGAAGGCTTTTGATCGGCGGGCAAGGTTAAAGGAGCACGTGGCCTCTCACTCACTCACACGCCCACTCTCCCATCCTAAACAGGTGCGTTTTCCTTGTTCACGCGTCCACTCACTCAACTCGCCCCCTCACTCACGCGCGCACTCACCCACGCTCCCCCTCATGCGCTCACTCGCTCGCCCACTGAACTCAACGCTCTCGTTCACGCGGACGCTAACGTTTCTCCAGGTTTCTGCCAGCTCTATTTTTGAGACGTCTCAAAGTCTCTGGTGCCAGCTCTACCCTTACCCCTCGTCTTCCCCCCTCTTGCTCTCTCTGCAGTAGCGGTCGCTTGTGTGCCCGCATGTGAGTTGCCAAGAATCACCAGCTAACCCAAGCACCTTCTTGTGCCTACGGTACCTCCCCCACTTGCCGCCTGCCCCTCTGCCCACGATTGCGCCTCACGCCCCTTTCTGCAGCGGCGGCCGTTTGTGTGCCCGCACACGAGTTGCCGCAGGGTGTTCGCCTAGAAATGTTGCGAGACGCCTCATAACAAACTTGTTCCCTTCCCTCATTGCGCCTCATGCCCCCTCCCTTGTGCTCTGCAGCGGCGGCCGTTTGTGTGCCCGCATGTGGGTTGCCACAAGGCGTTCCCCAGAAGCTCCAAGCTAACAAGGCACCTTATAGCGCATGACCCCAATGCTCCTCGGGTGAGGCTTTTTCTGTTTCGCAAGCGGGGTGGTTTCCTCTGGACTCTTAGCAAACAACATGGGTGAGGCAATTTCGTTTTGCAAGTCCTTGTTGAGGATTCTCAAAAGCGACCACCAACGACTACCGTGTTTTGAGTCGACTCATATCGCGACTCATGTCCCGCGAATTATGTCCGAAGAATTCTCAAAAGCGACCACCAATCCAGTGACTACCGGCTAGCTAGGCACCTTGCTGGGTTTCCCAGGTTCACAGGTTCACCTCAGAGGCAAGGGAAGCTCACCTGGGAGGAGGACCCTGTTGCTCCCCAGGAGACACAATTTTCAAACAGCAGCAGGGACGTAAAGCTAGGTGTAAAGCAAGAAGAACAACAGCTAGTATGTACTTTCTTTGTAAAATCAAGTGCTCGAGGAGCTTAGATCCCACTTTAGTTGAGTCCCCTTTCATGCCCTGCCTTGATCCTCCCTTTTCCCGCACTTCTCCCCCATCCCGCTCGCCAATCTATAACACCGTGCTCTCATCCCATCCGCATTGCTCCCAAACCTTCAAGTGGCAAGATGCACTGTTGCATGCAAGCATGCATGCAGAATGCATGGGTAAGTAACGCACCCATATCGTTTCAGCATGCAAGCACGCAGCACTTGCGGCTTTGATTGATGTGCCCTGTATCTCCTCTCCCTGTTTTCTCCCCCACCCGCTCACCCCCGGCCGATCCCCAGCTCACATGCCCTCATCATCCCCACTGTCTCCGAGCCTTCAAGTACCAAGATGCCCTGGCGTTCCATGTACGGACGTGCAGCTTGGTTTATCCTCTCCCTGTTCTCTTCCCCACCCGCACACCCTCAATCAATCCACCAGCTCCCGTGCCCTCACCATCCCCACTGTCTCCGAGCCTTCAAGTACCGAGACGCCCTGGCGTTCCATGTGAGGACAGAGCACGCCGGGGAATGGGGGACTAGGGGGTGGGTGGTTGGTGTTTCGCGTGAGGGGGTGGGGAGTGTGGGCGGGGTAAGCATTGAGCAGAAGAAGTGGGGAAAGAAGGGAAAGAGAGCGAATAGGGGAGTGGTGGGGAGGCGTCATCCTGTGAGAGAGGCGGTAGAAGGGGGGAAGGAGAGGGGGGAAGGGGAGGGAGAGAGAGGGGAGGAGAGGGAAGGAGAGAAAAGGAATGGTGAGGAGATGGGTGAAGAGGGAAGGACCGTGGGGGAGAGGAATGAAGAGGCGAGGGATGACGAAGAGAGAGGAAGGAGAGGGGAGGAGAGGTATGAAGAGGCGAGGGATGACGAAGAGAGAGGAAGGAGAGGGGAGGAGAGGAATGAAGAGGCAGGATTGACCCATCGCCTTCCTTGCAGGCATGGCAGCTTGGGAAGGCCACTGGGCCAGCCGCAGGAGGAGGGCCGTGGGGCTGGAGCAAGGAGGGGGGAAGCGGAGGAGGGAACGCAGTCCTTGCTAGGCTATACGGGCAGCATCAGAAGGGTTGTGATGCCGCTTCAAGGGGAGGGCAGCGGTGGAGGAGGAGGAAGGGAGACAGAGCAGGCAGCAGCAGAGCAGGAAGCAGCAACTCGATCCTTACGTGAAAAGGAGGGCAGCATGGAAAGTGCAGAGGTCCAGCTTCAAGGGGAGGTCAGCAGTGGTGAAGGAGGGAGGGGGACGGAGAAAAGTCCAAGGACCCAGTCCTTCATGTGTAAGGAGTGTGAGAAGACGTTTTCTCGCAGGGAAGTGTTCAGGAAACACATGGCCACTCACTCGAAGCAGGTGTTTTTTGCTCATTCCCCCACTCACTCACTAGCTCAGTCGTCACTCTCTTACTCACTCCCTCGCTTCCTCAGTCCCTCACTCCCAAATGCTGCATGCGTTTGGTGACTGCTCTACCCGTTGCCAACGCTCGTCCTCTCTTTCTCTCGTCCACTCTTTCCCTCGTCCTCTCTTCTCTCCCACGTATCGCCGCTTCTGCGTCAGAGTTTGCCCATTCACGCGCATCCTTCCAGTGGATTCACCGGCCAGTGAAATCGCTCAAGTCACTTGTTCTCTCTGCCTGGCTGTTCCTCTGCCCCTGCCCTCATTTCTCTCCCTCCTCTCCCTCACTGCTCATGTTGTTGCAGAGGTCGTTGGTGTGTCCAAAGTCTCTTTTGAGAAGGCGTTTGTGCAAAAGTGATTTCGTGTGTCCAAAGCCTGACTGCAACAAGGTGTTTGCAACAAATTATCGCTTACAGAGGCACTTAAACGTGCACGACCTCAATGCTCCCCGGGTGGGTTCCCCCTTGCCTTTTCGAGTCTATAAACCCAAAAATGTGAGTCACCTCGTTCGCCAAAAATTACCAGCTAACGAGGCTCTTGAATGGGCACAGCGCCAATGCTCCTCGGGGTCCCCTTGCTCTTCCCCCTCCACTTCCCATTCCGCTCCCTTTTCTACCTTCTCCCTTCTATCCTCCGTTTTCCCACCATACTCCTTCCTTGTTCCTCCTCTTCCTCTTTCTCAACCTCCGTGCATCCTCTTGGGCTCTGTACCCAAGAGGAAGCAAGAGGAAGGACCTCTTGGGCTCCTTCCGCTCCTTAACTGCCGTACCCCATTCCATAATCTCGTATCCCATTCCCTCTGTATTTTTAGATTTTTCAAAGAAAAGAGAATTAAAAAAACTCTTCTCCCAATCCATAATATCGTCTTCACCCGTCCTCTCTCACTCGCGCCTCTACAACACCTCACTGACCTTCTTGGTGGTATGCGTCTTCTTGTTCCACTTGAGTTTCTAGGAAGTTCTTCCGTTTCGTCCCTTCAGATGCTTCAGCGTTTTCGTCAGTTGCTTAAGCAATGTCTTCAGGCGTGCAGCCGTTACACTACGAGCCTAGACTGGATCCTTGAGACTTTGAGTGCTGTAGGCGTTTTCCAAAAATATATATGTTCTCAAATGAAACAGGTTAGCTGTGTTCTCCCTGTTGGTTGTATTGTGCTTTCTCAATGGTTTGGGTGTCCTCTCCCCATCCCTGCCGCAATCACAAAACCACCAGTGCCCTTGCACTTCCCTCCAACCCCCCCCTTCCCTCCAACCCCCCCAAACCCCCAGCACCCGTGCCCTCATCCCCACTGCTTTCGAACCTTCAAGCGCCCAGACTACATGGTGCGACATTCTAGAATGAAGCATTGCACAGAGAGGGGGAGAGGAGGAGAGAGGCTGCAGCATGCAAGGAATCAACGTTGCGGGGAGGCAAGGAGGGACGAAGAGGGAAGGAGGGAGGAGAGGGACGAAGAGGGAAGGAGGGAGGAGAGGGACGAAGAGGGAAGGAGGGAGGAGAGGGACGAAGAGGGAAGGAGGGAGGAGAGGGACGAAGAGGGAAGGAGGGAGGAGAGGAACGAAGAGGGAAGGAGGGAGGAGGAGAGGGACGAAGAGGGAAGGAGGGAGGAGGAGCGGGACGAAGAGGGAAGGAGGGAGGAGAGGAACGAAGAGGGAAGGAGGGAGGAGGAGAGGGACGAAGAGGGAAGGAGGGAGGAGGGGCGGGGCGAAGAGTGGTGGGTGCCACATGCCTTCCCACTCAGAAGCAGGGAAAACGTGGCAAGGGCAGAGAGCCGCGTGGGGGAGAGCAGCGTGGAAAGGGCTGTGATCCCGCTCGAGGAAGAGAGCGTTGCAGTTGGAGAAGGGAGGGGGGAAGAGGAAAGAGAATCCTGGAGAAAGGGCAGCGTTGGGGAGGCAGTGGTGATGCAGCTTGAAGAGGGGTTCGGCACGGTTGGAGACGGAGTGGGGATAGAAGAAGGAGCAACACCATTGCTTCCACCCAGGGGGGAGGGCAGTGTTGGGGAGGCAGCGGTGATGCAGCTTGAGGAGGGGTTGGGCACGGTTGGAGAAGGTAGGAGGGAGGAGGGAGCAGATGCTGTGATGGAGGACGAGGCTGGAGTGAACCATTCCCGCCCTGCCCATTCCCTTGTTGCCAAGGTGGGTAGGGCAGTGGTGCAGGCGCAAGGGGAGGGCAACATGATTGGGGGAGGGAAAGGAGCGGGGGGGGTTGCTGGGGTCAGCGAGGGGAAGAATCAGTGTGGGGAACAGGAGGAGGATGGGTGTGAGGAGTATGGTCGAGATGGAGTGGGGAAGGGTGAGGAAGCGGGGGATGATTTGTGGATAGAAACGGAAATAGGGGAGAGAGTAGAGGAAAGGGGAATACGGGAGAAAGAAGTGGGAGGAGGATACGGAGAGAGCGAGATAGAGGGCATCGATGGAAGGAAGGAGGAAGATGCGGCGGGTGAGAAAAAGGTGCGCACGAGCGTGCTCGAGTGGCGGAAGAGGAAGAACCATGGTGCAGCAAGAGTTGGAGCATCCAGACAGGAGGGGTTTACAAGGAGAGAAGTGATGAGAAAGAGAAGGTGTGCTAGAGGAGGTGCTGAGGGGGAGGGTATTAATTCCAGGAAAATCCACGTGAGAAGCCACCTGAAAAGCCACCTGAAGGGGCACAAGAGATACCTGGCCACGAAGGTGCATCTGATTGTTGGGAGGAGAGGTCGCCGATGCAAGCTGAGGAAACACCTGAAGGCAACAGAGAAACAGTTGAGGCAGAAGGAGATGCTCTTGAAGGAGGAAGAGGCCCACCTGAGGCAGAGGGGCGAGCACCTGAAGCAACAGGAAGAGCACCTGATGCAGCAAGAGCTGCACCTGAAGCAGCAGCGAGAACTCCTGAAGCAGCAGCATGAGCACCTGGACGATCAGGAAAAGCACCTGAAGCGTAAGATGCAGCACCTGGAGCTTCAGGTGAGACGCACACAGATTCGGAAGGATTGTCTGAATCGTTCCTCTGTAGCTCCTCGTGTGTTTAAAAAAGAGGTGGTGATGAGTGGTGCGGAGGGATGGAGGACGGTTGAGGATGGTTGAAGGAGAGGAAGAGCGGTAGCTGTGAGTGGTGTGGAAGGAGGAAGAGTGGTGGAGAATGGAGGGAGAGGAGCAGGTGTGGTGAAGGATGAGATAGAACCAGTGGGGTGGTTAAAGATGGAGAGAGGGGAGAGGGGGTGGTGAGGGATGGAGGTGAAACATGGAGAGAGGAGGATCGTGAACAGAGGGACAGGAGGCAAGGCGGTGAATGATGAATTGACAGGAGGGAGGGGGGGTGAAGGATGAAGAGATTGGAGGTGGGGTTCGGGGTGCAACTGACAGAGGGAGAACAAGGGGACAAGCAGAAGAAGCACCACTGCCACATGCGGCACGCCCCACCCCGGCATAACCAAATGATGACTTGTGAGCTGACTGCGATCTCTTATCACTACGCTCATGCCGGCTCTACTGCATGGGTGGAACAGCTGAAAGGGTGCATGCAGAGGGAGAAGCACCCCCGTACTTGCCCCACCCCGGCATAACCAAGTGATGACTTTTGGGTTGACGAAATCGTGCATAGCCAAAAGTTGTGGTCTTGAAATACTCAAGTATCACACTATATTATAATTTTTAAAAGTGTAACACTTTTTCAAATTTCGTATTGTGAAAGCAATGACGTGGCCAACGCAGCAAAGGTAGCGGCTCGACGCTACTCACCCCTCTTTTGCCTACAAAAGAGGAACGTGATTTCAGTAGCTCCACCCACGTTCTTCATTTCCAATTTCTAGTTTTACTTTCCTAGTTCTCATTCATCCTGGCGAGGACACAGTCCCTCCCGCGGTTCAAGTCCCCGTCAACTCTTCTTACCGACATTCTTCAACACAACCTCGCGAGTGTGGCTCCCGCCAACACTACACTTAATCGAGAGGCGGAAAAGACGACTACTCGGGGTAATACTTCGGAGCACGCGAACGCGCCCGGGGCTCCCGACCGCCGCGGAAAACGCCCTGCTGAGGACAATTTCGGCGAGGGCCCCTCAGGAGTCGAAGTTCTGCTCGGGAGCAACTCCCGAGCCCCCTCTGAAGAAGCACGCGCAACTGTGAAACAGTCGCGCATGCCCCTTGCTGACGAGCGCGTGGCTGCCAGGCAGCCGCGCGGTCCGGTCAAGTCAACGGGGGCTGACGCGGACGGCGACGCTGGTCAGCCGGGGCCCACTCTGCAGAAGCGGCAGAAAGCAGCGGCCTCAGCAGAAACCGCCCCATTCAACCCCCTCGCGTCCCTCACTGCGCAGCAAATGCAAGCGCTGCTCTCGATGTTACAGCAGAACGCGGCGGTTACAATCGCAACTTCATCCGACTACATTTCAACACCTGCAAAAAATGAAAATCAGAAGGAAGTCACCGCCCCTCGCACCAACAAGGCGGCTCGCGTCAACGAGACCACTTCCGCACCACTTCCCGCGCCCGCACCTGCGCTGATCGCCGCTCAAGACGACAGCGACGACTCAGAGAACGAAGATGGTGAGGCCCCCAACAACATTACCCGCCGTCGTATTATTGCACCCGCACCCTCCCTCCCACCCCTCCACCTCACACCCGCATCCACCACATTTATGCGCAAAGGTGTGCGCGATCAGGCGGAGCTCTTTTCTACCATCTAGGCGCACCTGAAGCACGTCAATTTCAAGCTCCAGCACGGCGACATAGAAAGCGCCCTCACCAACGTCGCGGAAATCGAGACGCTCATCCACAAGCGCTTCGAAGTCCTATTGGTGGCGGACGAGGCGGGGTTCGAAGCTGCCGATCGTTTTCAGCTGTACCAGTCCAAGAGCGTTTTGACCTCACGCTCGTACAAGCTCGCCGTCGCCGATGTGGCGGCTCTCGAACGCGCACGGGCCGGCTACACTCGCGGCAACCGCATGCCCACCCGAGATGGCGACACGGAAGGCAAGGGCATGCCGCCCGCAAGCTACCACGAACCCCGCTTCAAAGGGGTGTGCTTCCGCTGCGGCCAGCCCGGCCATATGGCGAATGCTTGCCCCATGGGAGGGCGAGGCACTAAAGGCCCCTCACCCGTGGTGTGAGGAGGCACACGGGGCGGCGCTCCTTGCCACTATGCCGGGGGGCGTAGGTGGGAGCACCGGGGGTGCGCAGTTGGTAGCTAGCATGAGCTAGGGGCTGAAGGCCGTAAAAATTCCTAGCCGGAAGGGCGGATATGGGGGTAGTACGTGCTATGTACCCATGTGTGGAGGCAAGTAATAAAAATTATCCTCTTATTGTTAAAAAAAAAAAAAAAAAAAAAAGGAAAGCAAGAAAGCTGAACCAAGGCAGCCACCCTGCAGCATGAACAACCCTATGACTCAGAAGGAAAGAGTAAGGAGGACGGAGGAGGAAACCGAGATGGGAAAGAAACCAGGAGAGTACGGGAATAGAGAGAGAGAGAGAGAGAGAGAGAGAGAGAGAGAGAGAGAGAGAGAGAGAGAGAGAGAGAGAGAGAGAGAGAGAGAGAGAGAGAGAGAGAGAGAGAGAGAGAGAGAGAGAGAGAGAGAAAGAGGGTGATGGAGTGAGGCCTCACGGACGAGGAGGCTCGTGATAAAAAAAAAAAACAAGAGGCGACGAAATCGTCTTAGGGTTGCGAAGCAACACTTCTAACATGCGTTATAATTTTGAACGACTTTGATTACTTCGCCGTATTTATATTGAAATGAATTGTGCGATTATCATGTTCTTTATGTTTTCGCCATATGTTTTCATACGTTTGAGGATAGACAACAAACTAATAATGATAATGGTGTGTGATAATGATAATAAGTAGTAGTTGTGCTTGTTGAGATTAGAGAGAGAGAATGAATGCACTATGAAATGAAACGAGTACAAGTACCAACCCTAATTGGGTTGTACCCCCTATGGGCTACCCCACTACAGCCTAAATATATGCATCAGCAATATAATCATCTGACACACCCCCATAGGCAAAGTGGGGGAGAGCAAGGGGTCACAAGACCAGTCAAGCAAAGCGAAGCAAAGCAAAGCAAGCTCAGGGTGGATCTCAAGGATACCACACAAATTCCGAGCACAAGGTCAAGGCCACAAGGCCAGTTCACATGCAGCAGAGCATATATATATAACAGTGCTAAACAAGCAAGAGCAAGGATATATATATGCAGCAGTACAAGCAAGGTCAAGAGGTAAGCAAGTGAGGCCCAGTGGGCACAAGGCCTAGCAGAGTGCAAAAGCGCTGATGGTCACGAGGCGGAAGTGCCTTGGTGAACACATCAGCAGTGTTGGCCTCAGTGGCCACGAAACGCAGGCAAAGCTGACCACGCTGCTGCAGCTCTCGAGCAAGGAAGTAGCGCAGAGCAATGTGCTTCGTCCTGTGCTCCAGTCTGTGCTCCTGACACAAGGCAATGGTTGCCTTGTTGTCGACGTACAGCACTGGAGGAGAACGAGGCCGCTCTCCAAGGTCAGTCAGCAGGTAGGTGAGCCAGCGTAGCTCCTGGGCAGCCATGGCCGTGGCGTAGATCTCAGCCTCACAGCTGGAGCTGAGAACCGAAGAAGAGCGAGTAGAGCGCCAAGAGACAGAGCCAGAGCCAAGACTGAAGGTGTAACCCTGAGACGACCTCTGAGTAGCCTGGTCGTCAGCCCAAGAAGCGTCCGAGTGCCCAGTGAGCACAGGCCGCTCACGCCCTCCAAGCACTAGCCCCATGCCCGACGTACTGCACAAGTAGCGCAACACCCTCTTAGCTGCATCCATGTGCTCCTTCCGGTGACGGCCGGGAGCAACATAGCGTGCTAAGATGCTGAGAGGGTATGCGAGGTCAGGTCGAGTGCAGGTCATCAGGTACATGAGGCAGCCCACAAGCTCTGGATACGGACCACTCGACTCTACGGACTCATCCGAAGGCAGAGCTGAGAGCGAGTGTCCCGTAGGCAGAGGAGTGGACTGAGGCGAGGAGTACGTGAAGCCGAAGCGCTGAAGGACCTGCTGCACCATGTGTGACTGAGTCAGGGTAATGGTGCGGCGTGCTCTGTCCCGGGTGATCCGCAAGCCAAGATAGCTTGTCAGTTCACCCAGGTCTGTGCACGTGTGTCTCTTCTGCAGCTCGGACTTCACGTGGGCGAGTGCGGCAGTGTCCGCAGTGGCAAAGACCAAGTCGTCGACGTACACGAGGATGTAGAACAGCGGCAGCGAGGTGTCGGTGCGCAAAAACAGCGACGGGTCAGCAGTAGAAGGAGCAAACCCAAGAGCCGCAAGTGTAGTCCTCAGTGTGTCGTGCCACTCACGTGGCGCCTGGCGGAGACCGTAGACTGGCCGCCGGAGGCTCCACTGGGTACCAGGAGGGAACGACCCAGTGAAGCCAGGAGGGCGGCGCAGCCAGATCTCCTCGTGCAGGCGGCCCTGCAGGAAAGCAGTGCTGAAGTCAAGAGAGTGTAGCTCGTAGTCACGTTGAGCAGCGACGTGCAGTAGAACCCGAAGAGTGGTCATCTTCGGGGTAGGGGAGAAGGTCTGAAAGAAGTCAACTCCCTGTCGCTGACTGAAGCCACGAGCCACGTAGCGCGCCTTGAAGACAGGCGGAGAACCCGGCGGCCGCTTCACCCTGAAGATCCACATGCCACTGACAATGTTCGCCCCAGGAGGGGGAACAGCGTCAACGTAGGTGCCTGTGGACTTCCAGGAAGCCATCTTTGCGTCCATGGCTGACTGCCACTGAGAGGAGTAGGGACCGGCCATCGCCTCTGCGTAAGAGCGTGGGGTCGGGATGTCTAGAGCATCCGGGTCTCCCTCAGGGGCAAAAAACATGGACACGAGATGGGGCAAAGCGGCGGCAAAGCACTGGAACTCCTCCTGCCTGTCCTCAAGGACGTCCGTGCCAAGAGCACAGTCACCCCCGACGGACGGAAGACAGGCAGACGCAGACGCAGCAGACGCACACGCAGCAGACGCAGACTCAGCAGACTCAGCAACAAGACTGGCAGCGTATTCTAGACGACACGCAGCAGCAAAGTCGACCAGCTCAGCAACTAGGGCAGACGCAGCAGCGGACTCAAAGGAAGGGTCAGTGACAAGAGAAGCAAGAAGACGCGTGACAGTAGGACTGGCAACACGGCGAGAGTCCGACTCCGGGTTAGCAAGTGTAGGAAGAGAAGACTGAGGAGGAGAAGGCAAAGGGGCACGCAGAGGAGCAGTGGACGGACGCAGAGACATCTGGTATAGGCCAGGGACAGGAGGAGGACGCTGACGCGAACCGCGACCACTAGGGCGAGCAGCTCGGACTGGCGACGTAGGGCGGGACGCAGGCTCACGACGCTCAGCAAGACCTCCAGTAGGACCAGTGTAGGGAGAAGGAGAAGGCAGGGGAGAGGCGGGCTGTAACTGTGACTGCGACGGGACAGGCTCTGGACACTCTACGGGAGGTGAAGGACCAGTGGAAGGCGGGAGACCAAGAACCTGCTGAAGGAGCGGAACGAAGTACGGCCGAGGCCGCGCAGCACCGCCAGAGATAGCAAGGACAGCACCAACACCTCCAGAGGCAGCACCAGTACTAGTAGCAGCTCCAACACCAGCACCTCCAGCAGCG